AATGGATCTAGATAATCTGTTTCATCCAGAAATCGCTGGAGTTGGAAAGGCCACCACATACCCCAAAACCTTATTCAAAAATGGGTTGGACACTAGGCAAGTTGTCCATTATGGAGGGGTACAGAGATGGCTTTAAAAAAAAATAAGTTTCACAACCGCCTCCTTTAGGCAAACTGGAGTTTTGTTTTGCTCTAAGGAGGCACTGGCCACATCCTTCACCCTCTGGCCTGTTTGATCAGCCACACATGTGGTAGCTCTCACCTCTCCAAGGATGCTGTCCACATCCTCAGGCTGCACAAATTAAAAAGTATCCATCAATACTGGACAAGCACGAGTAATGTAGAAGGGGTTACTCCCAGCCAACTCCCTGCCATCTGAAGCAAGAAAAGTGGCAGTTGGCAGGGAGGCCTTTTAATGTCTCAATACATTTTAAAACAAATATATTTTAAGCTGTTTGACTGTTGCATGTGTTATTGTACAACACCCTGAATATTCTGCATTAGGGAGCAGTACGATTTGTAGCAGCCAGATGATTCCTGTTCAACTGATCTCCATGTTAGGAAGCAGTAGGCCAGACCCATAATCTGCTTGACCTGCATCACAGGGCAATTGTCCTGAGGATCCCATGGGTGGGAGAAAGAGCTATTGCAAGCAGTCTTGGGACAAGTGTAACCCATAGGCACACACTACTCTTAATTTTGGGGCATGCTATAAGGGGTGAAAGTGGTGGGGAGGGGGTCGTCTTCTTTAGAATTATGTCTTTTGCATTTCTGTGTTGTTTACAACTGAAGAATTGCCTTCTCTCTCATCAAACGTATTAATACTACTGTTTCAACAGTAATCACTCACTCCATTTGTCTTCACAAAATACAACGGACACATCCGATGACAGCTGCCATCACACCTTCAAGTACCCACCTTTCCTTGCTTCCAAGGACACTGAGCTCTGGAGCCAATAGCTACTGGACTCCAAAAATGCTTGTTTCTACAGACTCTAAAACTGAAGTCCCACAAGCACCCCTCTGATGAAGCTGTCTTACATAATTTGATGGCCTACATGGAGCTCCGTTTTTTAAGTGTGTAGAAATGGGGGAAGCCTTCATGTGATGAGGACTAGGGACCTCGTCACATGCAACCCCCCCCCCCTTTTCTAACAACTTTTAAAACAAGTATCAAACGAAGCATCATGGAACCCATCAAACAATGCAAACAGACTACCACCTGGCATCCATGATGCTTTGCCAGGGAACTGTTTTAGAATTCTCAAGAAAGGGGATGGGGAGAAATTATTTGAGCTCATGATTCAGTGATAGTATGATAGCTGGGCCCGGAAGCTCTGAGCTTTACGCTGTTTCCACTTTGCTCCTTTGGGAGCGCCGTTTACACAACACAGAACGGAATATGTGATTGAGAAGGGGGGCAGAGTGAGCAATTGAGGTAATGTAAGCCAGGCCGGACACAGATAATATAGAAGCAATGTAAGAGTTCTTTAATGGTAAAAGACTAACCCTAAACCCTACCCTAACTATAACCCTAACTATAACCCTAACCCCAACCATAACTCTAAACCCTACCCTTACCCTAGACCCGTAAAACCTAAACCGTAAACTCTAACTCTAAGCCTTACTCTCCACTCCTAACCTTCCTTCAAATCCAACTATGACGTATAGGTCCACTATCATTGTCCAAAGTGCTTTTTCAGCAGTCACCAGCCAATCCCTCACCAATGCCAGAAATACAGCTTAATGGTGTAACATTAGAAAATGTTGACCATTTCCGCTACCTTGGCAGCCACCTCTCCACCAAAGTCAACATCGACACCGAAATACAACACCGCCTGAGCTCTGCAAGTGCAGCATTTTTCTGAATGAAGCAGAGAGTGTTTGAGGACCGGGACATCCGTAGGGATACCAAGGTGCTTGTTTATAAAGCTATTGTCCTCCCAACCCTGCTATATGCCTGTCTACAGACGTCACATGCAACTCCTAGAACGATTTCATCAGCGCTGCCTCCGGAAAATCCTGCAAATCTCTTGGGAAGACAAGCAGACAAATGACAGCGCGATGGAAGAAGCAAAGACCACCAGCATTGAAGCAATTGTCCTCCGCCATCAACTCCGCTGGACTGGCCACCATCTCCCAAAGCAGTTGCTCTACTCCGAACTCAAGAACGGAAAATGGAATGTTGGTGAGCAGGAAAAGAGATTTAAAGATGGGCTCAAAGCCAACCTTAAAAACTCTGGCATAGACACTGAGAACTGGGAAGCCCTGGCCCTTGAGCGCTCCAGCTGGAGGTCAGCTGTGACCAGCAGTGCTGCAGAATTTGAAGAGGCAGAAATGGAGGGCGAAAGAGAGAAACATGCCAAGAGGAAGACGCATCAAGCCAATCCCTGGCCGAGACCACCTTCCACCTGGAAACTGATGCCCTCACTGCT